AGGCCGGAATGTACAATAACATCTTCGATAGCCTGTCGACAATAACTAGTATAGAGTCGTACGTTACCCTACGGTGCTTCGCCGGGGGTAACTTAGTAATAAAATCTAAAGAGATCTCCTCCTATATATTTCCTAGTACCGGAAGCGATTTCAGCTCCCCTAATAGTATCGTCCTAGGTACCTTAGCCTTTTGGTATATATCGTATATCTTATAGTATTCTCTTATATCCTATCGGAGCTCCGGCTAATATAACGAGCGGTAGACCAACTTTAGCGTCTTATCTTTGCCGAAGTATCTAGCGAGGGCGGAGTCGTAGAAGTTAGCTATAATTTCTGCTCGGACGGCTAGCTTATTTAGGACGTAAAGCCTCCCTTAGTACTGTAGTAGGTTCTTATTATCGAACATCTAGGGGTCTAGCTTACTATAGCGGGTTCGCCGGACATCCTTCTACTCGTTCCTTTTATAGGCAACGAACTCGTCCCGTTGCTATAGCGAGGCTACGAGACTTCTAAAGAGTTGCCCTACGTTACCGCTTATAGTCTAGCTCGCGAGTAGGACCCTTACTGTTAAGCGTAGTACGTAGTATATACATTTACTAGTACTAGCGACCGGAGTTATATCGCGTAACGGCGCCGGGGGTTCGCTAGGCGTATCCGAAATTTCGGTCGTAGACTCCTCGCTACTTGCTATACTAACCTTACCGTTACGGATTCGTATAGCTATTACCGTAATACCTAGGTCGGCTAATTTAAGCTTATACTAGAGGGTTAGCAGTAATTAATTAACCGCGTCGTTCTCGGTCTAATAGTCTGCTCGTCTCGAGGGGCTATCTACTAGGTTAGTCTTCCCCGGCCGGTAGTATATCTCGAAGTCGAATTGGCCTAGATATACCGCCTATCGGGCTTGTTGCCCGTTTAGCTTCTATACTATCTAAATACCCCTTAGGTTATTATAATCGGTATATACCTATAGCGGGGTATATACGTCTACGAAGAAGTGTCTCTAGACCTTAAAGCTATAGACGACCGCGAGGAGCTCTTAGTCGTACGTTTCGTAGTTTCGCTCCGCCGGCGACATCTTTCTTAACATAAAGGCGATAGGGTGCTACCGGTCGTTATAGAGCTACGTTAGGATCCCGTATAGGCCGTAGTCGGACGCGTCGGTTTCTAGTCGTAGGGGCTTCGCCGGGTCGTAGTAGCGGAGTATAGGGGCGGAGGTAAACATCTGTTTTAATACCTGAAACGCCGCCTCTCCGGCCTCCGTCTACTGAAATTCGCCTTTCTTTAGGAGGTTAGTTATCGGGGCTATTACCTTCGCGTACCCGGCTATAAAACGGCGGTAGAAGTTAGCGAACCTAAGGAATAACTGCAGTTCCCTTAGGTTAGTCGGCGAGGGCTACTTAGTAATAGTAGCGACCTTCTCGGGGTCGGTATATACGCCCTCGCAGTTTATTCGGAATCTAAGGAACGATACCTCGCTTTGCGCAAAGGTACACTTCTTTAGGTTAACGAACAATTCAGCCTATTCTAGTCTAGCGAGTACCCGGCGAACCGCCTCCTAGTACTTTTCGATATTATCGTAGTAGGTATAGATAAGGATGTTATCTAGGTATACTACTAGGATGTTATCGAGTAGCCCGGCGAGGGCCTAGTTAACGTACGCCTGAAATGTAGCTAGGGCGTTAGTTAGCCTAAAGGGTATTACCTTATACTCGAAGTGCCTATATCGCGTTCTGAAAGCGGTCTTCTATTTGTCGCCTTCGCGGATACGGATTCGGTAGTACGCGTCCTTAAGATCTAGAGAGGTAAAGTACTTAGCGCTAGTAAGGCGCGTAAGGCTTTCGTCGATAAGGGGAAGCGGGTATCGGTCCTTAATAGTAATCGAATTCAAGGCGCGGTAGTCGACGTATAATCGCAAGGTCCCGTCCTTCTTTAGTACGAACAGTAGCGGAGCCCCGGCGGGGCTAGTACTATATACAATCCGTCCCTACTCTAACTCCTTATAGAGGTATTCCTAGAGGACTTCTAGCTCCCGCTAGGAGAGATAGTAGAGGGATCCGAAGGGCGGTTCCTTACTATCTATTAGTTCGATAGTATAGTCGGTTGCCTTATAGGCCGGAAGGATCGCTACAGAGTCGTTGTCGAATATATAGCGATATCCTTCTAATATAGCGGGCAGGGAGACTTGTTTTGCCTTGCCTTAGTTAATCGCGTAAATCTAGAAGGTCGAGCCCTAACCTCCTCGGGGGTTCGCTAGGCGTAACTACCCTACTATATAGATAGGGGAGGAGTCTTCCTTCGATTCGCGCTTTAACCTCTTTAGGGAGACCCTCTCGAAGCTAGAGATTATAAGTCCCTATCGCTATATACCGGGACTATTCTAGATATCGATACCTAGGATCTTTAAGGAATACCGGCTAAGGAGGATAGAAGATCCGTCCTAGTCGACACTATAGGTAAGAATCTTCGTAGTTCGGGTATCTATACTAGAGTCGCTAAGTTTCAACTAGAACTCGTAGGCGCCGTAGTAGTAGGTTTCGTAGGTCGACAGCTATCTAAGTAACGGGAGTTAGGCCTCGATTCGGGGTAGGCCTATTTCTACCGCTACCTTCTAGCTAATCGTAGTTACCTAGGCGTACGTATCGAGGGCGACCCGTATAGGTTTTATACCTTCGCTAGTAATAACAGTTCCTACTGTTTCGACAATGTCCCTAGATTTAATAGGTCGGGGCTCCGTCGCGTTCTAAGTGTTCGCGACGAGCCTAATTAGTTTTTTAGCTAGATAGGGGTCTAGTTAGGATTACCGCGCTTTAACGGGCAGTCTAGGCGAATGTAACCTATCTTGCTGTACTTATAGTACTTTAGTCCTAAGTAATCCCCTTTGTCTAGGGCGGCTTTTGTAGTAGCGCCCGATTTCGGGGCTTCAGCCGCGTTAGTACGCGGTTCCCTAGTATCTTCCCGGCGATCTCGATCTTTGGATTTTGGCTTATTGCTACTAGTCCGCCCTTTACCGCCTTAGGTCCTCGGGTAGTTCTTCTTAATCTAGGTCGCTAGGTTAACTAACTCGTCCTATATTTTAGGGATAGAATTGTAATCGACGATCCGTCGGCGGGTCTCCGGGTATAACCGGGCGAAGAACTAGTATAGCTATTGTTCTAGAGTATACTGTTCTAGCTATACCTCGAGAGTCTCTAGGTATATTAGGAACTCCCTTAGAGACTAGTTAGTACGTTGTTTAGCGGACATATAGTCTAGATAAGCCTAAAGCAGTCGAGCGTTAGGATCGTCTAGGAGGTTAAGTAGGAACTGCTTAAAGTTATCCTAAGTCGTATCCTTACGCTCGGCCTCGGTTATCCGCTACTAGTATATATACTAGCGGTCCCTCGGGATATACCCCTTAGAGAGGTACTATATTGCCTAGGTATACTTCTCGGCTTCCCGTTAGAAGGATTATAGATTCTAGAGGAATACGACTTCGTACGATATTACGAAGTCGCCGTATTCTTTTAAGGACCTCCCCTCGTATTCGCTAGGGGCTTTTACCGAGCGTTTAGGAGGAGGGGTAATATCGGTTTCTATAGTATACCGCTTATAACTACGGCTACTCTAGAGGTCGGCTACTTCTTAAATTAGTAGTAGATATTCCTTTTCCGTCTATAGGCGGGTAATATCTTTCTAAAGGTCGCTTAGCTCCTCGCGTTCGATAATAATTTCTAGCTCGGAATCGTTCGCGTCTTCTAGCTAGATACTAGTAAGAGCTTCTATAGATTCCTTCTAGTCGAGCAGTTCCTAAACTTATCCTACTTCGATATCCGTAGAGGAAGATTGTTTAGTAGAGGCCTGTTCTAGTATAGAGGGGTTCCCCGGCGAGTCGCTAGGATTCTGTCTAGTAGAACGTCCTCCTACTATTATTCGGACCTTTCCCTTATAGTTAAGGTACGAGAGTTATTATATAATAGTTCTGTAAGTGTAAGGGTATACGTAACAGAGGTCTAAGGTATAAAAGGTATAAACAATATACGGCTTACTAACTAAGGTATAATAACTCTGCCCTTCCTTCCTAGAGGAGGGCCCTCGCTATATATACAAGCTATTCTATTGTCTACTCCTCGCTACCGGTACCGCCTCCTCTTAGGCAGTAGCCGATAACCGGTTCCCTTAGGAACCCTCTTAATTTAGAACGTCTCCGATTAGTAGGGTATCCCTTCTATACCGGATCGCCGGGGGTCCGCGAGGGCTTCCCGTCCCGCGCGGCACGCCCCGCCCGCCTCGCCGGGGGTTCGCTAGGGCTTCTCTGCCCTAGCGTATTATATGTTCCTATATTAGTACAGACTATCGCTTTCAATACCCTCTTTGTCACTACACGACATATATTCTCGTGCTCATCACAGTCTTACCGCCTGTACATATCAAATGCACGTACCTAATGTATTAATGAATACCTCAGGTACCTGACTATAAGGTAAGGTAGGGGAGCATGTGCGGGAGCAGAGCCAGGGCAGACTCCAGAGCCTGGGAACGCGTCCAATCACGCCACGCACATACAGCTACCTCCGAAGTGAAATCCGGTACGCGTAGCACGTGGGTATGGAGTAGAAGTACCAGGAATATGCCATTCGTGTGTGGCTGTGGACCTTTGGTAGATCATGGCCGTCTGCAGAGCACTAGGAGGTAGCAAATGCTTCGTAGTCCCCTTCCTCCGGGCACTCGCTGTATGGGCTCGGGCTTCATCTCTGACAACTTGAAGCCTTCAGTCAATGTTCCTACTCGGGCAATCGCCTACCACTGAACGAGCTACCTTTTCTCCAGCTCGTCACCAATAAATGCACTCTGAGCACATGGTGACATCATGCTCAGTGCGATGTTGGAAGAGGTCAGAGGTATATACAATATAAAAGGGAAAGTACATGTACCTTTTGTTCCTGCTTCTCATTCACAACCAAGTCTTTGAATATCTGATACCTACCTGGTTGATTACAACAGTCTGAGTGAAGTCTGCTACCAGATCGAGGACCATCATGGCATCCCATCAGAAATTCGAAACCCCGGACCACTTGCCAGTGACAAACCAGGCAATTGGAGAGCCCCAGTCGATGAAAGAGAAAATTCTTGAGACGGGTGCTTCTATGGTGCAGAGCTTCGACCCTCCCAAGCGTCTCTGTGCTCATCTGTAGGTCTCCCCGTGGATAAGGTACCCAAGCAACAAGCATGGCAACGCTCACATACATGCACCTCAGCAACGCCTTCCACGTCTACGTCAACGAGCCCACTCGGACCTCGGAAGCCAATCATTACTGTGCTCATGTCAACGAAGATGTTCGACAGTGCATTCTCTACGACTCCCCGGGGCCGAATGCAAGACTGATTGGCGTAGAGTACATGGTCTCGCCACGTGTCTACCACACCCTTGATGCAGAGGAGAGGAAGCTCTGGCATTCGCATGTCTTCGAGGTCAAATCGGGCATGCTCATCATGCCGGCGCCTGCAGGAATGCCTCTGGGTGTGTGGGAAAAGGCAGAGAATGCGGAGATGGAGGAGGTCGTCCATCTCTATGGCAAAGTCTTCCAGCTGTGGCAAGTGGACAGAGGTGACAAGCTTCCTCTCGGTATGCCAGAGTTGATGACCAGCTTCACGAGCCATGACCAGACGGAGATTGATAGACTCGTGGGAGATCGCGATCGAAGATTTGGAGTGGATTACAAGAAGAAAGCGGCTGGAAGAGCTTACATCGACGAGCCAGAGGTTCATCCCGATGCCGATGACCTATGGAAGAAGCAACAGAAGGCACAATGATCAACCTCTCTTGTCACCGAAGCCACTGATGCCATCCAGTTCATGGGACAAGATGGCAAACTCGGTTTCCGAGTACGACATGGTGCTTACATCACAAAGTCGCGCTAGCGGATGTTAGCATCTTGATCGCGATCTGTGCTACTCCCTGTCAGGTTGTGCCTCACAAAATGTAGCATTAGACAGGAGCGTACAAGACAATCGATCCTTGATTCCTTCGTGCTGACAGAAGCATGCTCGAAGGTGTTGCCTTTTGAGGAATGACTGCCACGTTCAGCGACTCGTACGACTGGAAGTAGAGCTGAAGATGAGCTGGTAGTTTATTAGAAGAGATGGTACTTCTTGCAAGAAATACCTTACCGAGGTGTACAGTACATGCGACGCGATATCTTCAGAGAAGGAAAGCTGGAAATATCATAAGGTAGATAGACGGACGAGGATGACATGTGAATGTGCTAGCAGATACCTGCCCTGATAATAATGAATCTTTCCCCAACACCCATGTCAAGCTCGGGAAGTGGAGGGAGGGAAGGGTACTGTAGTCTGTAAGGTAGCCGTATCATCAAGAAAATCTTTGGTGGCTCTCTACAAAAGAGGTACACGTAAGTTAAGGCAATCTCAGGTAAGTACATGTACATGTTGTGTATGCTCTGGAAATAAGTAATAGAGGTCGCGTGATTGAATAAGATAGGATTAGGATCAGAAGAAGAAGAAAAAGAAGAAGAAACCTGCCCCGCCGTGCCATGTCTTGTCCAAAAGCTTGGCTTAGCCAACCCGTCATCTTCCTAGGAGGTACCTACATATACGGAGGCGACAGAGCTCATGTAGCCGAAGAGTCTTATTTAATGTTGCAGAATAATGTTACTGTGTCTCCTCTCCTCCACTGGGGCAGATAACTGTACTCCTCAATGCCCCCATGGGCCATGGCATATCGGAAGTTAGAAAGGACCGATAGGAGTAGTTCTAGGAGAGTGGAGCGCGGGGAGATAGGCGTGGAGGACTACTGGAGGTAAGTCAGGAGGAGGAGGAGGCATGTATCAAAACAGTTTCTTCCCTCGTGTATACTTATCGAGGCTTACTGATGAGGTAGTGGTGTAGGGTCAGTCGCGCAACTCCTCGTGAGCGGGAAAAAAAAGGTATATCTACTTACCTTAGGTACGGTACTGTACGTAAGACGACACAAATTGCCTTCTTATCCTCTTTTGCCTCCCAACCAATCTTATCCGCCTAGACTAAGAGGGAACCCAAAAAAGGGGGAAATATAAAAAGTATGGAGCGTCTCCATGGAGGTGGAGAGTGGAGAATGGAGATATGCTTCACTACCTTACCAACTACCTATGTGGAGGACAACAGCGCACCAAAGCGGGCAAGACCCGCCTTTTTTCACCTCCTTCTGATACTAGTGCCGCCTTTCTCTCCTACAAGTATGGGGAGATTGTATGGTAAAGTAACTCGGTTCGGTATCACAATCTGCTGTTGTCGCACGTTACATTTGGGAGGGGGGGGGCCGAGGAAGTGGGCCGCAAAAGAAGAAAAAGGTCACAAGCCGGATTTCTACCAGGGGATGGGGTTCCACTTCTATGGAACTCGCTGTGTGAAATGGAAAGGAAGGAAAAAGAAGAAGGAGAAGAAGAAGAAAAAGGCCGCCCGCCCGCCCGCTTTCTTTGAATCTTGGGACATAGTCGCTCGAATTTCTCACATTTCTCTTTTCTTATTCTGCTTGCCTGTCTGCCCAGCATGAAGCAGTACGGGAATGTATATCTCATTGCGGCCATCTCCATCATGTAAGTCATCATCATCGCTATACTGCTGAGAATCGAAAGACTTGTATACTGATGAGTCGAGTCGATCAGCGGAGGTGGCCTTTTCGGCTTCGATATCTCGTCCATGTCAGCCATTATCGCTACACGACCGTATCTGTGCTACTTCAACCAAGGACCGAATGGACCGGGCTTCAACGATTCAGACACGTGCTCGGGCCCGAGGACAAGTGTTCAGGGCGGCATCACGGCTTCGATGGCCGGTGGCTCGTGGCTTGCAAGTCTCTTCAGTGGCATGATTTCTGATCGTTTAGGTAAGTGAGATTTGGTGGTGGTGGAAAGAAGGCATTATGTCCGTCCTCCTTTCCACATATGTCTCGCCGAGGCACTTTTTGTCCATCTTCCCCAAAAAGGTCATCTTGCTCACTCTCGACCTTTTATTTCCCATCTCGCAGGAAGAAAATCTGCCATCCAAATCGGTGCCGTCATCTGGATTATTGGCTGCATCATCGTTTCCGCCGCCCAGAACATCCCCATGCTGATCGTCGGACGTATCATCAATGGCTTCTGCGTGGGAATCTGCTCCGCTCAAGTCCCCGTCTACATCACCGAGATTGCACCACCCACGAAACGCGGTCGTTTAGTCGGCGCGCAACAATGGGCCATCACCTGGGGCATCATGATCATGTTCTACATTTCCTACGGATGTTCCTTCATCAACGGTAACGCCGCTTTCCGAGTTCCCTGGGCACTCCAAATGATCCCCGCCATCATTCTCTTCTTCGGCATGATTGTCCTCCCCGAGTCTCCGCGCTGGCTCGCCTCCAAGGATCGTTGGGAGGAATGTGAGCAAGTCCTTATTCTCACGCACGGGAAAGGTGATCCTCACAGTCCGTGGGTGGCTCGCGAGTTTCAGGAGATTAGAGAGTGGATCGATATTGAACGCGCCAGTGCCCAGGTGCGATATATCGATCTCTTCTCGGCCAAATATATTAATCGGACGCATATTGGATTGTTCACGCAAATCTGGAGTCAACTGACGGGAATGAATGTTATGATGTACTACATTACCTACGTCTTTGCCATGGCCGGTCTCACGGGAAATACCTTATTGGGTGAGTTGCATCCTTTTTTCTTATTTCTCAGTAGTGATATATCATTTCTCCAGAGCGCGCACGCTGACGATTGAAAACAAAAATCCAAAGTATCCTCTTCCATTCAATATGTCATCAACGTCGTCATGACCATCCCCGGTCTAATCTGGATCGATCGCGTCGGCCGTCGACCCATCCTCTTACTCGGATCCACTCTAATGGCGACCTGGCTGTTTGCCAACGCAGGAATTCTCGCCGTCTACGGCACCGACCCGGGCCCCAACGGTGTCGGAGGTATCAAAGAAGCTTCTGTGCAAGTTTCTGGCGCAGCTTCCAAAGCTATCATTGCTTGTTCATACTTGGTGAGTTCTTCCTTCTTACCTACCTACCTTTTCATTTTCATTTTCATTTTTCTTCCTTCTCTTTTCCACTTTCACTCCACATAAGCCAACCGAACTAACAAAAAACCCATCTAGTTCGTCGCCTCCTACGCACCCACCTGGGGCCCCGTCTCCTGGATCTATCCTCCCGAATTATATCCCAACCATCTCCGCGGCAAAGCCGTCGCACTCGCCACCTCTGGTACGATCCCCTCCCCCCCCCCTCCATTCCCTCCCCCCATAAACCTAATAATCTCCCCAACTAGGAAACTGGGCCTTCAATTTCGCCCTCGGTTACTTCGTCCCCCCCGCCTTCGTAACCATCAAATGGAAAACCTATCTCGTCTTCGCCTGTTTCTGCCTCGCCATGACCGTACACGTATTTTTCCTGTTTCCGGAAACTGCGGGGAAACCTTTGGAGGAGGTGACGGAGATGTTTGAGTCTTATGAGACAAATAAAAATGAGAGTGAGATGCAAAGAAAAGGGGGGATTAAATATGTGGGAATTCCGGCTTGGAGAACTAAATCGGAGTTTGGGAGGCAGATGAGGAGGGAGAGGGGGGAGGTGGAGGTTGAGGAGGAATTGGGGGGTGGGGAGAAGGGGGAGTTGGAGAGGAGGGAGGTTGTGAGGTTTGGGGGGAAGGAGGGGGAGGTGTGAGTGAGTGAGAGAAGAGAAGGGAAAGGAGAAGGGGAGGTCAGGTATTAACCTTTATCGTTGTTGTTGTTGTGATGTACACTTCTGTATTTAGGGGACAAGACCCTATGAGAGAGAGAGAGAGAGAGAGAGAGCAAGAAACACCAGATTTCAAGAATTTTTCTTTTTCGACTTTTTTCTTTCGAGGGCACTATCAACCCCTCCACCCTAATCATACAAAAAAATCTGTTCATCTAATCTTATCTTCTTCTTCTGCAAAGAAACATCTCTATCTAATAAGTCTCCTTAATCCGATCCGCAGCCCTCTCGGCAAGCGCGTACAACGTACTCGTCAAATGACCCGACACCTGGAAAGGCAACACCGAAGCATCCACGACTCGCACATTGGCCGTTCCATATACCACATGGTCACTGTCGACCACACCTCCCATCTCCTGGGGCATCATGGCCGCCGTGGAAATGTAGTGGAAGTTGGAGCGGTACGTCGACTTGAGCCACTCACCCCAGACTTCGTCGCTTGCGTCGGCGGGGACGAGGTCGAGACCGGGGGTGGTTTCGCCGGTAATCATGTCGCTGAAGGGGGCGGTGGTGGTGACGGAGCGGGCGGCGCGGGCGGTGGCGATTTGTTGTTTGAGATCCCAGTCGAGTTGGAAGTAGTTGGGTTGGATGGAGGATGCGGCGGCTGGGTCGGCGGAGTTGATGTGGATGTTTCCGCGCGAGAAGGGGAGGAGACCCCAGTATTGGAGAGAGGCGGCGCCGGAGGAGGGCGCGTTGACGATGACTTCGCAAATGACGTCGAGGTCTTCGAAGATCATCTTGTGTTGGATGTTGAAGAGCGTCTCCAGCGCGGATTGGTTGACCACGCCGCCGGTGTAGTCGACGACGGTCTTGGCGTAGGCGGGGAACGAGGCTTTGACTTCAGCGCTGACCTTGTCCAAGTCGTCTCCGTATGCATCGCGAGCGTTGAAGTAGCCAATGTGGCCTCCGGAGCCAGTGAAGTTCTTGGACGCGGTGTAGGCGGTATCCGTCGTGGTCTGGTCTTGGAGGTTCTCGCCAACGGCAGGAAGGTCAACCTTGACATCGATGTCGTACTTGTTCAGGATGCTATGTTGCGTCAGCGCCAGATGTTACATGTACTTCTTTCAGGAACGGATGACACTCACGTTGGGTTGCCAATTCCCGAGTACTCGAGAATCACGGAAGATCGCAAACTACCTGCAGAGATGACGACTTCCTTCTTGGCGCAGAGGGTTTGAGATGCTCCTGAAGCATCCGTGTACTCCACGCCGTTTGCGAAAGGCTTGGAGTCGGAAGAAGCATTGGCCCAGGTCAAGCGGTTGGCATGAGAGTTGAAGTAGACATGAAGGTTCGATCTCGACTCGTATGGGAAATAGTATGCGCGAGCTGCATCCTCGCGAATGTCGGCAGAGGTGTTCAACGTCTTGGGGAAGATGTTGTATCCATGCATGTAACCAGCATTGGGCTCGCCGTTCCACGGAAGGCCAAGGGCGTCAAAGGTGCTGTTGAGGATGCCGGCAAAGTTGTCGCCGACCATGGTAGCTGGCCAGCCGACGGCCAATGGACCAGTGAATCCATGAGCATCAGCCTTGTATGATGCGCCGTCCTCGACCTGGGCCGACGATGGTTTCTCAAACGACTCGGCCTTCTTGTAGTACGGCAGAAGAGAGTCCCAGGTGATGTTGTTGCCGAGCTTTGCCCAGGCGTCAATCTGACCCGTCTCAGCACGCATGTAAGTCATTCCTGTGGCGAGAGATGTCAGCAAGATCCAGAGGAATGGAAGACTGAAGCTCACTTACCATTGATCGTGCTGGTGCCGCCCAGAGCCTTGGCCGCTCGCATGACTTGCGTCTTGTTTCCTGCATATGGCTGAGGCTCACTTTGGTAGGCGAAATCGATGGGGGTATCAAAGGCAAGGCCATAGCCCGTGGTGCTAGTGACATTTGGGTTGTCGTAGACAGATCCACCAGCCTCAATGACTGCCACAGATACGTTGGGGTCCTCGCTCAGTCGGTTGGCAACGACGAGTCCTGAAGTACCACCTCCGATCACGATAAAGTCGTACTCGCTGGCTGCTCTTGGAAGTGCTGCTGGTGCAGCGAGTGCCGCAGCGACAAGCGCAAGCCCGGCGATGCTTCGCGACATGGTTATGATGTTGAGAGAAGAAAGGGTAGAGAGACTTGAGGATGGGACAAAAAAATCCCAGGACGTGCTCACCTTGAGCCCATATATAGGGCATCTACCGTTTCAATGTCTCGTTCCAGCCAAGGGAGATGATTAGCATAGCATGACCGTCGTCTTAGAGTGATGACATATGCGAGGTGGAATTCTTTCCATCATCGGTCAACGGCGAAACCACGGTATGCCAAGAATACCATTGGCACTTCCGGGAAGTAGTGTGAATAGCGTCTTGACAGAGTATCCCGGAGCTGTGAACATTGCCTGGCAGCAAATCGGGTCGGGAAGCATGTCCAGTAGGAAGTCGTGTGCATCCGATTCGCGCTGGCAGGTGAACTACGACGTGCCAAGACGGTGTGTTCTAGGTTCGGCACAAAAGGCAAGAAACGAAATAGGCAAGAAGAGAATTTCGAAGCCGTGGAATGGCGCTTGATCGCAGCTACTGGTGCTTGTTTTGACGGTAAGCCAGGAACAAGGCGGATAGCTAGCCACGTTTTGCACGCCCTATGCCATAGTTTTGCCGATCCAGCGTCCGTGGTCGAGACACTCTCTAGTCGAGGCACTGCAGGCGATGAGTGGATCAGGCGATTGATCAGCAATTCAGCACTGATTGAAAGGTATCGATTATTCAAAAGGCGACCTTCCCCTTCAAGCTGGAGGCCCGACTATAATTGCAACGCTCGTGACAGCGGAGTTTTGGGAGATTGTTGCATGTGCGCAGATTAGTATGTCTGACCAGTGAATTGCAACGATTCTTCTTGTGGTGAAGTGCTTCGGGGGATACACTGCTTCGTCGCCGCGGACCGAGGGTGCCGCGAGCATGGCAGGGGGACATGGTTGCATCCAGGCCAGTGTGTGAACTACTGCTGCTGCTGCTACTGCTGACGATGACGATGACGGTGATGGCAAAGGCGACGGCGATGGCGATGGCGCGATGGTGATGACGGTGATGTTGCTGATGATGAGGATGTTTGAAGTGAAATCGCAAAGGTACATGTATGATGTACCTGTACCTAGGTACCGGGAATCTTGACGAAAATACAGCCGCCCGAGCTTCGTGCGAGATGTTGCTTACGTGCGCTCACGGCAATGGATGGCAATCTGGCCGTCGCACTACGTCGCGTCCCTAGGTGATACTGCTGTTCGGGATCCAAGGCAGCGAGCATACATCATGAGCGGACGCGACAAACCGCCAGTCGTCGCCGTCTTCCTTGTAGTCTTCGATCAGAAGGTAGGGTAAGATCAGCCCCCCATCCATACTGACTCGTCGGTGGAAGCTCCCCACGATAGCTGACCGATCGCACAACAGATATACCATTGCCTGGAGCCGTAGCCTGGACGACGTCGACCTCGATGGAGTGGAGTTTAAGAGTCTGCCTTCTGGCTTGCATGCTGTCAAGGAAGATCTCGTGTTCTTTCTGCATGGCGCTCATGCCGGCGTGAGTGCATTCGTACAAGAAGAGGCAGATGCCAGGCATCGTAATGCGAGCTTTGTAGCTGTTGGCGCATTGGTGCCATCAGGCTATGGACAGCTGGGGCGCAGTTGGACTCATGCGGAAGAGCTAAGAAGTATGGGCAAAGATGCTGTGAAGAACACTGCTCATATGGATGCACTGGAAGCTTTCTGGGAAACCCATCGGGCAGATAATTCAGCTGGGAGCTTGCCTGCGCCGCTCCTGGCGAACCGTGACAATGGTGGTAGTGAGCATCAAGCGAGGCGCAAGCGCGCTGCTTCAGAGACCACCATGGGCCTGCATACCGACGGAGCGTGGCCTTCAGATCATCCTGCCTTGCAAGTGCCCGCCATGCTCGAGACGTTCGGGCCGCTGCTATTCCCGCTGCATCGCGCTGCATTGTCTAGGAGCCGCATTTTACTACTGGGCAGTCCCTCGGTACAAAACAATACTAACCTAGTCTACATGGCATCTGTACTGTCATCCATCACAAAAGAGCTGGCAGAGTCCTTACCAACAGAAGCTGAGCCCATTTTCCGAAGTTCGCCATTATTCAGCATTGGCATCCACGACATTCCCGACTTGACGAAACGCAGTGGCGATAATGGTGGCTGGATCGCGACTACTACGGATGGCATCCTTGGAGACAAGAAGAACCTCTATGATCTGCTTGTCAGGCTGCCTCCGCAAGCTGCTTCTAGCTGGTCTTGGCCAGAGCTAAGGACTGCTACCGGTAGGGTTGTGAAAGCGTCGCAGCGCGATCTGCAGCGATGGAATCTCTTGCGCCGAGAGATGGGCAGGCTGAGACGGCAGGCTGTAACCGCATTCGTAGATGAGTCGCCAACCACGAACGAGAACGATCGGCGTCCTCTCCTCGAACGTCGGAACACTAGTAGAGACGATGTGAATGATGTCGAATTCCTTGACCGCGATAGCACGGACGTAGTAGAGCCACCCACATGGTCCGCCATGGCATATCGAGGCTTCATGTGGTGGGCATCAGCAGGCGATGTTACTGCATGGGAGAACGACGATGCCAAAGCCGACGAAGAGCTCCTCTTCGATATGCCTGACATTGGTGGCATATTGGCCGAAGAAAGTGGTCTACGCGGGGAGTCCGAGTACGCGCGCGCCGCTGCTACGCTCCTCGTGGCATATTTCCGAAACGTCACTGAAAGCATACTGCGTCCGATGGCGAGCATTGTGGAGGCTGCAGATGACGATACAGAAGAGGGAGTGGAAGAGAATGAGATACCATTCGGTAGCAACGATCTTCGTGCTATGGGGCTCGACTCTTGGAGTGAGCCTGATAGGCTGTTTGTTAAGGATATGCTGCAGACGTGGTTCCATCGGGATGCTGTTATCGTGGACAATGGCGTGCGTGTCTGCGGCATGCGGGTGTTCTGAACTATCACCCCGGAATGAGCACCTGCGCTGTCGATTGTGCACATAGTCGAAGCCTTGGCCACCGAGCTCGCGATTCAGGCGCCTCACGAATGCAATCCGTGGCGAGCCCCCATGCTCTCTCCCTATGCTCAATCGACCTGACTTGACTACTGGGGAGGTGACATTGCTTTGGTGCGCCACCTCGCTATCGTACATGTTGAAATCTGTCGTCAGTGGAAGACATATGACGATTTGCTGGAACGTGAAGATGAGAACAAACATCTGTCACAATGGCACTAGTGAGTTCCTCCGACACTAGCAACACGTTGACAGCGAACTACGCTGCTCATACATGATCCATCTTTGCCTTGCTTCGCCTATCGAGCAGAGTATAGCATCGGGGTTCCGAATGTTCAATTTGCGGCGACGGCAAGAAGAAGCTCAGAGCATGAGCAAATGTCGCGTAATTGGAACCGCTCGGCATCATCGCATTGTTGGATGCGTCCATCGAAACATTCGCCAGAAGAAGGATCATCCCACAACGACGCCATGCGAACGACAGCGAATCACAGCCTCTCGACGCTACCGCGAACAGGTGTTCCTCGGTACTGCCACTTTTGCTGCTTGCCGAGACATCGTTACCTACCCATTGAAATTAGTGCTGGAGCGTTATTCAGAGTGCATTTACAGCAGGTGAGATGTGGCATTTGGTTCACTTCTCGGTGGTAAGAGCAATAGAGACGGGGGAAGTGTAAAGCTTGATTGCGACAGTCGGAGTAAGTTCTCCTACTAAGCAGCGAAGGCTACGAAGCACAACGAGGCGTGATGGAGGGACGGGTATGAACGGAGAGGCTGGTTACGGAGCGCAAGGACTTATTCGATCCATACTCTGTCTCACGTGGGCATTGGATCCTTGCCAGGAGACCATCATCTGTGTCGATTGGCGCTGTAAATAGAGTTCTGGAGACCCTGGGGAATGCAGTTCCAACTGCCATACCCACGTCTCACATGCAGAACGCGTAATGCAGCTTATGTATACGCCCAGCCTGGCCGTGATCCGGATCGCAATCATCGCATTGTCAAACGTCTGCTGCGTTGACGACCCCGACCCCGATGAGCTCACTGGCTCACCGGAGCGATTGCAGCAGCAGGGCCGGCACGTGTTGTCAGACGTGAGAGGAGGTAATAACTACCGGACTCCTCACTCGCGCCTCGTTCGCTTGCTTGCAATATGTACCGTCGCCTGCGCACAAGTTCTCCTGCGTGGCTTGCAGGAACCTGTACTTGTTGTACCTGTGGTGCTACTGCTGACGAGACCGCATCCCCTCGCACACCTTCGTTCCCCTGCTGAGTGCCATCTACCACCCGCGACGTGACCCAACACCCTCTCAGACCATCCTCGATCATCCACCGTCTGCGACATTTCATCAGATCAAACAGCATGGCCAAGGACGGAGATGCGCCAGCAATTCCGCCCGCAGCAGTCATTGTACTGTGCTTGCTCGGTGCTGGCGCCTTGCTCTTGTGCTGCTATGCCCTCTTCCGGCACTTCTTCGAGCCCAGCCCGCAACCAACACCGCAAGGCAACATCAATCCCGAAGACGGCATGACTCAAGCGCAATACATGCGAATCGTTCGACTTCGCAATCAAGAAAGCCTGCAAGCCAAGTATGGTTATCATAGCAGATATCCCGAGCGATATCATTCCACCGCTATGACGCAGTCGTCTATTATGTCCGTCTGATGAAAGCTGGCCTGGGACAAGAAAAGAAAGCATAACCAAAAACTTGGAAGTACGATTACATGTAGCCGAAGCGCCAGCGCGACGATGATCTTACGAGCAATGCGACAATGAATTGGACACTCTCCGGAAGAGTGTTTCGTTGGGAAGAGGGGGGAGGAAGGGAATAGCAGGAATGGAAAGCCATTTGGAAACAGTACAAGATCCCGGCAGCGCCTTTTGATCGCGCAGTTTCTTCTTGTTTCGCGTCCGGATTGAGCGACTGCATCGTCTTTCAAGTGTAGTGGTGGTGAATGTCTCAGTCTGAGGCTAAAAGGAAAGGAAGATGAGGGGGGAAATCGAGGGATTGGACAGGAAATGGAAGTAGAGAGCACAGAATGTTGTGGGACCGACCATACCTCAAGCGTTCTGGCGAAGGCCGCGTTGCAAGCTGTAACGACTACAAACCAAGTCATCATCACTCTTCGTGCCGGTCGAAGTGGACATCCGACGCAGTCAGAGCCTTTTCTGGACGCAACGGCTACACGCAAGAAGTTTTGATATATGCCTGCAAGTCTCCTCATCACGGCGGGCGTCCTTGCGAAAAGAAATGTCCTGCCTGGTGGTCCCCAGCGGCATCAGTCCAAACCTCTTTCGCCTCTCGGGAAAAGTTATCTATCTACTTATGGACACCGCGAATCGACCTTTGTGCTGAGGCTCTCTCTATCGGTCAATACCCAAATCCACTTCGCTGGATTCGAGCCCGGTATCCCACTTTATCAACAGCAACGCCAGAATCCAATGAGGCAGCAAAGCAAGTAGGAGAATTTATCCATAAGCTTGCTAGAAAGCCAGAAAGCAGCTGTTTCGAGGACAAATATCGCATTTGGCGTCATTTTCATTACCTACCGCATTTTCGCTTATGTGTATGTTTATATAGTTTTGAAAAACGAACCTCCTTATGCAAGATCCGCGTCTATCCTAGCCTTCTCCGAAAACAGCAGTCTCTTCGTATCTTCGAGTGGAGAAAGTTCTGACGATGAAGGTATATATGCTTTTGTACCTGCGTTTGAGACGGTTTGGGTAGGAGAAAAAATGTAGAAAGTTGTAAGGGGGACGAGGGGGACGAGATTATTAATGGTATATAACCTAATTAGCGTCATTATCTTGCTTTTTCTGGGCGGAACGCCGGAACGGCGGAACCTGTTAGTTTATGACTTTATGTCCTCGAAAATGCATCTTTTGACCTCCTACCTTAGGAGGTACATGCACCTTCGTATACACACACACTACATACTGAGCCTTATCGCTCCTTTGCCGAGCCTGCAATAGATTGATTGCGAGCGATGTCTTGCCACTGGCGAACATTCACTTGCTTGCTACTCATACCGCGCTGACGACGACAGTCTCCGACGTTCAGACAGGAAAACAGCCAGAATGACACGACAAGCTAGAGGATGAGATGGAGGATGTGGTCCCGTCCCGCAGCCTTTATATTGACACATCATCAATAATGTCTCCGAGCTTCTACCCCGATTGAGGAATCCTGGATGGCTCTGGCGAGAAGGATGCATACCTAAGCGTGCAAGCCACCCAGAGACTTCTTATCACTTCGGTACCGGCAAGACTGCTTGTCATTAAGTCTATTGGTAATAGTGAAGCAATGTATATTTCAAGACGCTACCTCCTAGGAGGTATTGACACTGGACCTCAAGTGAGTGAATGGCACGTCCTTTGTATCTGTTGCAGCTCTGGACTATTGAAGACTAGGGAATACCCTCACCTCATCGTCCTTATCCGTGACATGCGAGCACTTACGCATATCGGCACTGGTGGTCGTTGGAATATCCAGGACGTGTACACCGCGTACGTGGTCAACGTCACCAACAAGTACTACAGCTTTCGAGCAATGTCTTCATACTGAGTGTCTGCTCTCTTCTGTCTGGGTTTTGCTATTGCTTCTGTACACTACGCGAGTGGTGACAACTCCCTCGTCCATCTAAAAATGCGTCTCGTTCCTCTAACAGCACTTCTTGCTCTGGTGGCAATACCATGTCAGGCTGACCAAGCGCCCTTTTCCGCGGACTCCAAATACAACGATGCAGAATATGGTTTCTACGTTACCCAAACCTTCAAATCAAGTCCTCAGGTCACAGGCGTACCGGTAGTCAACTTTATGGAGCCTTTTACTCGATGCGATGACGGATCCTACTTGTTAATCACTCCTCGAGGGAAAGTGGCAGAGTCTACACCGATGATTCTGGATGTCAATGGAAGTCTAGTATGGGCTGCAACCAAAAAGTATGGCCAAGTCTATAACCTTCAAGTGCAGTCATACAAAGGCCAGGAGTATCTCACGTTCTGGGCAGGCGATGACACTGTTGGCGGACATGGTGTAGGGACCCATTACATGTTGGATCAGCAGTATCGCGAGCAGTATCGCATCAAAGCTGCGAACGGTTTAGGGGCCGATCTCCATGCCTTCACGATTACGGCGAACGATACGGCGCTCATTTCCATTTACGACAAAAAATTTGCAGACGTCGAAAGCATGCCTGGCTATCATCGAAAAGGCTGGATTTGGGATTCGGTCTTTCAGGAGCTGGACTTGCAAACAGGCGAGGCAATCTTCGAATGGCGCGCCAGTGACCACATCGATGTATCCAAATCCTATCACCCCATAGGCGAAATGGAAGAAAGCGATCCACGGGACGTATATCACATCAATTCCGTCAGAAAAGACACTCTCGGCAACTTTCTCGTATCCAGTCGATACCTCCGAGCGGTCCTATACATCGACGGTATAACAGGAAAAGTCCTCTGGCAACTTGGAGGAAAAGACAATTCATTCCACGACCTCTCAAATGGAACAGCCACGAAATTTCTCGGCCAACACGACGCTGACATTCTCGAGCATGAGGATTCGCACAACCATGCAAAGAAAACCCATTTCATCACCTTCTTCAACAACAACGCCGATTGGGACAACACCACCGACATCCAATCCAAAGGCGCCCGAATCGAAATCTCCCTCGACGACATGACCGCTCGCCTCGACCTGAGCCTTTCCACCTCCAACTCCTCCACCACCACTACCACCCGACCCATCCTCAGCTCTTCGCAAGGCTCCTACCAAACTCTCCCCAACGGCCACATTGTCCTCGGATATGGATTCAACGCCGCCATGGCCGAGTTCTCGGAAACGGGGGAATTGTTGTGCTCCATGCTTTTCCAGCCTTCGAGCCGATTTGATACGGGAGATGTACAGAGTTATCGGAATTTGAGATTCAATTGGACGGGATTTCCAAGGGATACGAAACCGAGGCTGGTGGGTGAGTTTGATGGATCATCATCATCATCATCATCATCATCACCATCGGGGGATGTGAAGCTCTATATGAGTTGGAACGGCGCCACCGAGGTTTCGAGGTGGTTATTGGAGGGGTTTGAGAATAGCGATGATGAAGAAAAGGAAACGACGAGACGAAGAAAACGACATTCACAAATCAACCACAGAAACAATTCCGTCGAAAAAATTTCTCTGGTGGCTAAAGAAGGCTTTGAAACGATTTCTCGCATTTCTTCTTCTTCAGAGGCCATTTCTCACAAAACACGTTTCGTGCGAGTTGCCGCACTTGATCGCGATGATAACGTACTCGGAACTTCGGATTTGATAGATTTGAGAGGGATGAATCGTGATGATGATGAAGACAAAGGTGTCAGCAATAATTCACAACAAGGGGAAGAAAAAGAAGAAGGAAAAAATTTCTCTTTCAAACTCACCAATATCGATATTCTCCTCATTAGCTTCGTTGGACTTCTTATCAGTTTGAGTTTTAAATTTATTTTTGGCTTTACTGCGATAGGAGGAAGAAGAAGAGGAAATGGAAATGGAATGGGAAGACGAGGAGGGTCGAAGGATAAGGAGATGCAAGAACAAGAACAACAGTATAAGAAGAAGAAGAAGCAACAGTCAAAGTATAAATATAGTCTTCTTCTTCAATGATACCTAGGGTAGTAGGGTAGGGTAGGATAGGGTACCTAGGTAGCTTTACTTGGATAGCTGAGGTGTTGTGGAATTTTTTGCATAACAATACAAATATGTTTATGTGTATATATATATACAACAAGAAAGTGACTTTTTTTTTGGTTCTTCCACCTCCTCCTCCTCCCTCCTCCTCCTTTATCTAAGGGGTATCATTTCCTCTCTTCCACAACTACCATCACTACCACCACCAACCTTGATTGGGAGACATCGCATCCCTCTCTCAGTAACCACGAGGGAAAAAGCGACATACATAGGTATACATATATATTTTACCTGAAAATACTTTTTACAAACTACTTGCAATCTGGGCTTGAACCCACTTTTCCAGTCCCCCCTTGGCGATAATATCTTGAACATTCGGCGGCAGCTCTCCCACTTTCTGTGTCCAAGATTCGCCGCCCGCGCCCTCTTGGATCACGACTTGGCTGCGTCGCACATCCCATGTGAAGGTCCAGCCTGTGCGGACTGTAAGTTCTCCCTTGTCGGCGGGTTTGGCGGTGGGGGCAGGGGGAGGGGAATCTAAGCTTTCGGCGTTCTTGCTCGGCTCGGTGATGGCGGCGGGGGTGTTTGCTGTGGTGTTCGATGCGGAGTGGCCGAAAGAGGCTCGGAGTCGTTCGATGAGTTTGGGGACTTCGACGCCCATTAATGCGTTGTTGATGGAGTTGCGCTGGAAGATGTTGCCGAAACTGCCGGCGACGGTGAGGGGGATGCCCTTGGCGAGGATCGCAGTAGCGGCTTGTTCTCTGGACGATCCACAGCCAAAGTTGTAGCCGGTCACGAGAATGTCTCCTGCCTTGGCGATGGAGGCGAACTTTTTATCGTAATTCTCCATCACTACCGTCGCCATCTTCGCCGGGTCGGCACTGAACGCATCATCGTAGGTGTACTTGCCCGGGTAAATGCCATCGGTGTTGATGTTGTCGCCATCGCACCAAATGATCTCGCCCGAGACCTTTTCGGGAAAGCCAGGCAGAATCTCTGTGAGTCCGGTCGATGTCTCTTCGGGTTGGGCTGCAGCTGGAGCTCCAGATAGTCTCTGCTCGGCTTCTTGAATCGTTTCTTCCGCCTCGCGGACAAGCTTGTCGAGTGCGTCCTCGATGCTGATCATGCGATCTTCTTCTGCAACACCGTCCCCCTCACCACGACGCACGCCCGCCCAGCCTTCGGGCTTTGCGTACCAACCGGGACCGGAGAGCTTGCCACTCAATGCACTAGCGGCTACCACTTCCGGACTACCCAGGTATGCTTTGGCTTCTGTGCTGCCCATCCGCCCTTTGAAGTTGCGATTACTCGCTGAGATGCCCACTTCACCAGGTTCAAGCAATCCTGTGCCTAGACCAATACATGGTCCACATCCAGAAGGCAAGGGCTCTGCACCGGCATCCAGCAGTACTTGCCAATCACCCTGCTCTTCTGCAGCTTTCTGCTCAGGAATGGATGCTGCTGCGATGTAAAACTTCACCCCATCCGCAATTCTCGGCGTCTTGCCATCTGTGCCGGTTGCTGCTCGAAATACATTGGCAGCGGCCTGAATGTCAGATCTTCGAGAGTTGGTGCAAGATACGAGGTACGCTTTATTCACCGGAATGTTCTGCGCTTCGAGCTCATTGAGTGGCGTTGCCACTTTCACAGAGTTCGGCCCAGCAACATAGGGGCATAGTGTTGAAAGATCGAGGAACAGCTCCTTGGCATAACCAGCGCCTTTGTCTGCAGCAAGAGGAGTCGCAAACAGTTCATCCAGTCTTTCGTGATTGAAGCGATCAGTGGTCAGACTCGAAGTTGGAGAAGGTTCCCGGTACATGCTGGCTTCCGTCGCCTTATACCGCAGCCATGCTTTGAGCACGTCGTCGATGGGGAAGAGTCCAGATAGCGCACCCCACTCGGTAGTCATGTTGGCAATGGCGAGTCTGTCGTCGACGGGCAGACTGCGCATGGTATTGGTCGATCCTGTAAACTCAATGGCGTGGTTCAGCACCTCATCGTTGTTGAACAGGCCAGCCAGCGCCACAATTACATCCTTTCCGGTCACACCTTCGGGCAGAATGCCAGTAAAAGTAACCTTTGCAATTGGAGGAATCTGCCACCATGTCCTTCCCGTCGCCCAGATACTCGCAGCATCAGTCCTCACGACTGGTGTGCCCAGGCATCCCACGCCTCCATACATGTTGGAGTGACTGTCGCTGGCTACTGCCATCGTTCCCGGCCACGCATATCCCTCCTCTACCATGATCTGATGTCCAATGCCTCGTCCCGCTGGATAGAAGTCTACGCCCTGCGTCTTCGCAAAGGACTCGATCTTGTCGTACTTTTCCAGATTCTTCGCGCTCTTATTCTGTACATCGTGATCGAGGGTCATGACCACCTGCTTCGTGTCATGGATCTTGGTCGCACCAATGCTCATGAACTTGGTCGCCACAGGCCATGAGTTGTCGTGCGTCATGCAGTGGTGTGGTGATAGCGTGACATAGTCGCCAGCCTTGACAAACTTGCCATCTGGCAAGCCCTGCGAGTATCTCTGCACAATCTTTTCCGTCAACGTCTGTGGTGTCGTGGACGCCCCCGTGGGTTTCGCGAGAATGTCTGCAGGCGCATGCTCGAGCTGGGAGGAGAAAGCCTCTGTCACGTCCGCTAAGCGTGCTGTTCGTGTCGTCGAGATGTATCGTGGGCGTAGATGCGAGGCAGCCGGAAGACATTTTGGTGATAGTGAGAGTCTTGCTGCTGTGCTTCCTGTCGTCTGCAGTCTGCTCGTTCTGGTCCCACTCACGCTCCTGGCCAGCAGCCTTTGAAGCCCTCCTCTCCCGCCTGCCGCTCTGAGCGCCGCCATGACTGACTCTTTGTCCCTCTTTCAGCAAATACCAGCCACCATCAGTGAAAAGACAATCAATCAATGAATGTCGCCTGCGGATGGTGTTTGAATGATGGTATACATCTCAATGGCAGCCAATGAAAAGCGTGGTAATCGTCAAGTCGATGCAAAACACCAAATTTGAGGCCCGACATCGGCGACAAACCTGCTTCGAACACAGTCACGGTCATACCTCCTAGAAGGTAATATAATACATCTTGACTTCTGCCTCGAACTGCAAGACATACTCCAGCATATAGGTACCTTAAGCAACTTCACGCCTCTTCCCGCCAATATGCCGTCCAGAGAAGAAATCCACTACTTCGGAGCAGGACCTGCCCCACTGCCAACACCCGTTCTCGAAGAAGCCTCCCGCGTGCTACTCAACTACAAAAACACGGGAATCGGCATCACTGAAATCTCCCACCGCAGTGCCGATGCCAATGAAGTCCTCGCGACCGCCCAACAAGCTCTCCGAGAACTCTTGGACATTCCCGAATCCGACGGGCCAGAAGGCTACCAGATTCTCTTCCTCCAAGGCGGCGGAAGTGGAGAATTCAGCGCCGTAGTCTCCAACCTCGTCAGCGTATGGGTCGCCAAGCAACTCAAGGCTGTCAATGGCGACGAGGAGAAGTTGAAGCAGATTGTCCAAAGTCAGCTGAAGCTGGACTACTTCGTCACCGGATCCTGGTCGCTGAAAGCCTCCCAAGAAGCTGCTCGACTCGTGGGAGGCGAATATGTGAACATCGTGACAGATGCACGGAAATCTCGCGAGGGTAAATTTGGTGTCATTCCTGATTCATCCACTTGGACTGCCTCCTCTTCCTCCGAACCAGCCTTGACGTACTACTGCGACAACGAAACTGTCGATGGAGTTGAATTCCAATCCACGCCAACTGGAACTAACCTCGTTGCTGATCTGAGCAGTAACTTCCTGTCACGCCCAGTCGACGTACGAAAACACGCAGTCATCTTTGGCGGAGCACAGAAGAACATTGGAACCACCGGTGTGACCATCGCAATCGTCTCCAATGCGTTCTTACCCCCTCACGCAGAATACGCCAAACCGGAACTGCTTCGCAAGCTGGGTTTACCCATTGGACCCATTGTCTTTGACTATCCCACCATTGCGAAAAACAACAGTCTATACAACACCTTACCAATCTTCGACGTCTGGATCGCAGGACAGGTCATGCAACGATTACTGCAACTTCATCCCCAATCCGAACAAGACGGCCAACAACAACAACGTATTGCAGGCCAAGCCCAGGAAAGCAACCAGAAAGCCCAACTCCTATACCACACGCTCGACAGCAACGAGAAAGTCTATCAGGTCGTACCCGACAAGAGTGTCCGCAGCAGAATGAACCTCTGTTTCCGCGTCAAAGGGGGCGATGCAGATGCCGAAAAGGCGTTTTTGAAAGGTGCAGAGAACAGAGGTCTGCTGGGTTTGAAAGGCCATCGCAGCGTGGGTGGAATTCGCATCAGTAATTATAATGCTGTGCCGGTGTCTGCGGCGGAGAAGTTGGCCAAGTATTTGCAGGATTTTGCACAGGAGAATTCGTAGAAGTCAAGAGAGGAGGAAATACAAAAAGCATCGTGATTTGTGATTAGCGTGGAGTTTCCTGGCAGAAAAACATCAGAAGGGGCATGAGGTGTGGTGGGGAATCATGAGGGAATTAAGAAAAGAAAAAGGCATTGAGAAAGCTCTGGGTGAAGGGCGTATCTTCCTATGATTTGAATGCATGATTGAAGTCCTGTATTGTTTCAACTACAATATCCACGACTTCAAAACCTTTACAGTCCACTTTGAAATTACACGAATTCTTTACGGGACTTCATGCCCTGTAGTAGCGGTGGTGGTCTCATATGATCATTCATATTAACACAGGAGCACAATGTCATGGGAGATCCAGCTCCACACACAACGCGCACATATCACTTATCGTATCATCACCATCATCACCTCCCAAACAAACCCCCCAACCTCCCTCCAGCGCCCCCCTTCCCATGCCTCGCCGCCTCCCTCTCAATCCACGACCTCAAAAACTCCTCACTCTTCAAATCCTCCACCCGACTCACCTTAGTCTCGACCTGAGGCTCCTGACGATCAAAAGCCAACAAAGTGGGAATCGCAGTAATCAAATACCTCTGCGCAATTCCCGCAGACACCCCTCCTAAATCCGGACTATCCATTTCCACTTCCACATAACTGACACTACCTTGGTCTTCGCCGACTCCTTCAGTTTCGAGCAGAGTTTTGATCAGTGACGAGATGGTGTCGCTGTGGGCGTCCCAGGTGGTCATCCAGAGGGTTAGGAGGGGAATGCGGCTGCTGGCGCTGCTGAGAATGAGAGTGTGGAGTTCGGATTCGTTGCGGATCCGGACCGGGTAGATCCTGTTTCGCGCGTGGAGGGGTGCGTGGGAGGAGAAGGACCTTTGGCGGGTGAATCGCTGTGGATGCTGCTGCTGCTGGTGCTGGTGGATGAGAAGGCGGTATTGGTGGTGGTGGATACGAAAAAGGCTGGAGCGGATGGGGGAGAGGACGGTCATTTCTTTCGGGGGGGGGGGGTTTTTCTTGTTTTATGTTTGCTTTTCTTGTTTTATGTTTGCTTTTCTTGTTTTATGTTTGCTGGGGTTGAAACTTGAGGCTGTTTTACTCGTCTACTGCGGTTGCTGTCGATATTGATGGGTGTCCATGGGACCATGTGTGTGGAAGATGGGGGGAGAGCAATGTGACGTAGGTATCTTACTGTAGTTTTCGTTTATGTTTATTATGGGAGTACAGTCGACCGTAATAGTAAAGGTCTCTTCACCTAAAAGGTACAGGTAGTAGGGTAGATAGACCGAGATAGTTCACTTCATTAGTCTTCATACACCCTGCCCTAGCGGCCCCTAGCAAGTCTACTGTACAGTACCTCCTACTGTAAATTGCTTTTGACGCTTTCACTTGAATCACAAGACATCGTCCAATAGGATGGAGAAGCAGCACCACAGCGGGAGACCGGAAGGCAAGGTCAGCGATCTCTCACCCCAGACCTCTCGACCTCTATCTACCTCACCCTCGTCCTGGACTCCTTGTCCGACTGGGAATAGCAGATTTGTCCATTTCCATTGCATCGTCAATATATCATGAAATTGACCAACAGGATGCTGAGACTGCATTCAAGCCCTCCTGCTCGCTTCAGCCTGTCCAGGTATGGGCCTGGTATGGCCATGTGTTTGGACAAAAGGACATGGGTGCCCTGGCATCATGTGATATGAGTCATATGGATAACAGGGGCCACTGATTCCTTGGCGTTTGTATGTAGAGTTGGGAATACCCACCCCCCTCCTTTCTTTTCTTGAGAGGTCAGACCTCGGACCTCAATTAATCCACTTATTGATTGGTATTCTATCAATCTTCTCAATTGGGCACTAGTGTGGTGTGTGGTTCCAACAGTTATGAGCCCGGCTAGCTCTGCTTGATCAATCAAAGGAATCAGTTGGTTACTGGATATTCAGAGTTACCTGATATCTCCTAGAATCACCTAAGATTGGTTAAATTCCGCTGTATCAAGACAACAACCAAGGACCGCACACTATCACTTGAATGCCGGCCTAAACCCGTTCATCTAGACAAAGAGAAGAGAGCCTATCAGATCAGCTTACAATCGACCGATCCCCGAGCCCTGAGTTTCAAGAGGTTGAAGAAACACCTAGTAGCTCGTGTCCTGGGCATCAAGAGTGGTTTGACGAATTCAACGAAGACACTATGGCTGATTCCCCTGAACCCTTATTATCAACGACGACGTCGATTGCCAAGCTGCGCACCTGGTAGGACTGGAATGTGTAGATCACTTATATTAAGAGAGAGGCAGTAAAGCTCCAGATATAGGCTGATATCAACCTAGAGATAGCTAAGCCAGATCCAGAAAACCCAATATAGCTTAAAGGACAACCTGTCTTTGACTTTGCGGCTCTACCCACTGATGTTACCCCAACAGCTCTTAGTCTGGCCCAATTCAAGTATAGGTATAATAAGGATGCATGGGAACTCAAGCAAAGGGGGTACTAGAAGATTGAATTAATTATTAACTAGTCTCTCTCTGCAGACCTTCAATATAGGGTGATTAATTGTGAGACAATTAGGCAGACACTCAAGACTCTCTTAGAATATACTAAACCCAACACCCTGGCTGCTACTCAGTTGTTGAAGAAAGAGTTGGAAACCCTTTCTTACCCACTATATGGAAAGTCCATTTATGACTATATGCACCTTTGGTTCGTTTGGTATGGAAAGAGAGATGCTGTTGGCCAGCAAGCAGACAATGAATCTACCCAGGTATGGTTGTCTTCTATGGCTCCAATGTATAGAGACTATATGGCTACAAGGATAGGGAGGCTGCTTGATAAGCAGAATGATGGGGAGGTGACAACTCTCCATTCAGAATTGAGAGCCTAGCAGTCCTACTTTCAGTATAATAGAGACACCAAATTCAAGAGCAAGCACAGAACTACCGTCGCCAGCATCTCAACCGCCGCTGCAACCGAATCATCTTCGTCCTCAAACCGATCCTTATCTTCAAGACCAAGCAAACTATGTCTCTGTGGTAGGAACCACATGTGGAAGGAATGCTACTACCTTAATGCCGAGTACCCGAGGCCTGAGGCATAGAAGCTAAGAGATGATACAAAGAAGAAGATTGAGAAGAGATTCAAGGAGGACAAGAACCTGAAAGAGAGAGTGGACAAAGCAATTCAAGCTTACAACGCTGCTTAAGGTCAAGGGTCGAAGGACAAAGAAGCTAAGAACAAGTCAGGTATGACCGCAGAAAGCGAGGACACTGCTGCCGCTGCTACCCTAGAATCGACCCCTGAAGCATCTGTTGGTTCAATTGGCTACTACACCCGCCTTCACAACGCTGTGATTCTGGACGGCGGTGCCAATGTTCACATTATCAATGAGTCTATAAGGGCAAGGATCGTTAGGTCTGAGTTACCAACCTCCTCTGATACAGTGATATCTAGGGACAAGAGGTACTAACCTGAGGCAATTGTTGATGCTACTATCAATCTGGATATAGGTAATGGAGTTACTAGGAAGCTTACTCTTCTTAAGGCAAGGCTCATTCCGGGATTCTTCACAAGCTTGGTCTTACTACAAATCCTTAACAAAAAGGGGATTTACTATAACACCAGAAACTGGCCTGATAGATTGATTACTGGCCAACCTTATGAGGAACCCAGGCTCTGGGTATACCTTACCCCTGAACATAGTGACGACAGACACGGTCACTGGATTATTGAAAGGTTACCTGCAACAGAGAGTGTTGCTGGAACCACTGGAATTGAGGAGGTGAAGTCAATATGCACCCCACACTCTGAGAATGCGGGGAAGTCAACCTCACCTGCCTCAACGTCACCTACTGGATTTACTGCTGCTGTACAATCCAGTTACCAACTACTCCTACCTTTGACAGCAACAGCTAATTAATAGCATCAGTTGCTAGGCCATCTATCTGTGAGGGCTATTGAGAACTTGGAACCTGCAACTGAGGGTTGCTAGGTAATTGAGATGAAACCTAGCCCAGACTATGGCTAAGAGGTTTTGAACAGTGTTACCTGTGATACCTGCTTGCTGGCCAAGGCCAAAGCAGTGATTTTAAGGAGGAAAGACAAGCATAGAGAGGTGCTGCCTGAGGCAGAGAATGCCAAGATGGCTGTCTGTTCATAGGATCTCATTGATATGACCCCTTCTCTCCCTGGACCAAATGGATTGGTCTTCAAGTTTTACAGCTACTGGTACTATGACCAGGAGGGCTATTATGTTGGTGATCCTGTGGCAACTAAGCCACAAGCAATTGCCAAATTTCCAGGACATTTCAAGAAGATGGAAGTGTCCTTTGGTGCCAAAACTATCCTAGTTCGCTGTGATATGGAAGCAACTATAGGAAAGGATGCTGGCAAAGCCATTACCAGGCAGGGGATCAATACTCTACCTACTGCTACTGGTACCCCTGCTCAGAATAGAGCAAGTGAGGTTGCTGGAAGAGAGATTGTTACCAAATCCAGGACTCTCAGGATTGATGGTCGACTACTAAAGACACTCTGGCTATAGCTTATGGATTCAGCTGTTTACCTACTCAACAGGACCCCTACTGCCAAACTCAATTGGATGACTCCATTTGAGAAAGTTACAACTAAGAAGCCCTTCCTTGGCTATCTCTACCCTATTGGTTGCAAGGCCTTCGCTCTTCGTAGAGACATTGCCAAGAGAGACAAGATAGAAGAGAGAGCTCATATTGGGTACCTGATTGGGTATGCCTCTACCAATATTTTTTGGATCTGGATTCCTTTACTCAATAAGGTGATCAGGACAAGAGATGTGGTCTTCAAGGATAATAAGAGATACAATCCGCTGGATATTAATGGGCAGACACTTGGAGAGTTGGTTCCTGCTGCTATTTACCAGACTGTGATTGACTCAATCTCAATGCCTGAAGAGCCAAATTCTGATGGTTCTATGGATGACCCTTTCCTGGCTACAAATATTCCGACTTTTGCTGTCCAACCTTAGGGAGGTAGTAAACAGTAGGGAGGTGAAGGGCTACAATAGGAACAGGAGTCATTATACCTAACGCCGCCAGAAACACCTGCTAGAGATAATAGTCAGGCCCCGGGGGCCTCACCGGGTACACCCGCTTCTTTATTACCCTCCGCTTTTTCGGTCTCTTATTAGTACCCTGCCTTAGATGGGGAGGTGGAAGAAAGTACCTATTGGTATAGTGTGGACAACTATGGACGATGGATCGACTATAGAATTGGACGGTTGGATGAACTGAGTTCTGCTGCTGTAGCTTCACTCCAAGCCTATACTCTACCCAACCTCAAGGATCCTTATTAAGTAACGAGTTCACTGTTACCCCCTGCCAACTGGAAAGAGATGGAAAGGCATGTCTATCACCAACAGTTCAGGCAAGCAGCATTTGATGAAGCTGGAAAGCTTATGGGCAAGAGGACATTCAGGGTATTCTTTGGTTACAAGGGCTACAAAGTACTATTGGTTTGGGTATTTGCCTACAAAACAGACCTATCAACTAGTGAGATTCTTAGGTACAAGGCCAGACTCTGTGTCCGTAGGGATCTTCAATTGCTATCAACCCATGAAACCTATGCTGCCACACTTGGTTACAAGGTATTTAGGGCTATCACTGCCCTGGCCTTTGCAAGGAATCTGAAAACCCGGCAATAGGATGTGGTGAATGCCTTCCCAAATGCTACTATTCCTTACACTGTGTATTGTTCAATCCCTGAAGGGATAGAGGAGTATGGATTTGGACCAGATGCCTGCTTTATCCTTGAGAAAGCACTCTATGGATTGGCTGAATCACCTCGCCTGTGGTATGACCTGTTTGTTATGAGGATGGAAGACTATAGCTTTGAGCTGGTTCCTGGAATTGACTGTCTGATAGTGAACATGGATCTCTACCTGCTTATGATATTCTATGTGGATGATATCAGGTTGATTTATGAGAGGGACAGGGAGGATCAAGCCATCCTGTTCAACCAGTACCTGCTTTCCAACTTTGAGGTTACTTAGAAAGAGCTATCCTTCTTTCTGGGCACAGAAGTCCTGGAATTACTAGACTAGGAAACCCTGACTATGTGCCAGTCTGCCTACCTAACAAAGATTGGTATCAAATTTGGTGTTCATAAGAGGACTCGATTCCCAGATACACCACTTCCTACTGGAAACCTGGAACCTGCTACTGATACAGCCAGGCCTGACTTTATCAAAGGATATTAGATGAAGGTTGGTTCAATTGGTCATGCAGCTGTTTTGGCAAGGCCGGATATGGCAAAGGCACATGCTACTCTTTCTCAATTTCTGAAGAATCCAAGCCAAGCTTATATAGAAGCTGCCAATCACCTGATTGCCTACCTCTATAGTACCAAGGACATGAAGTTGCACTTCCATAGGGACAAGCCTAAGATGGAGCTGTATGTGGATGCTTCATTTGGTAACAACCCGGACAGGAAGAGTTCACAGGGATTCTTGATGATGATGTATAGTGGTGCTATTGATTGGCAAGCAACTAAGCAGAAGACAGTTACCAAATTAACCGCAGAGGCAGAGTTGCTAGCACTCTCATCAATTGCAGGTAATGGGTACTGGTGGACTCGACTTTTCTCTGAATTTGACAAGGTATTTCCACCTCCACCTAGAAATAAGCTATCTGGGGAGCCTGTCAAGGATGGAACTATAGGTAGAACCAAGGTTTTCTGTGACAACCAACGAGCAGTGGATATCGCCAATCACAAGTATGGTTTACTCAATACGGCTTTGAGACATGTGGATATCTATCAACACTGGGTAAGGCAGGAAACTATGGCAGGACGATTGACCGTAGAATGGATTGGGACTGCCAAGCAACGAGCTGATAGCTTCACAAAGAACCTCCCAAAGGGGTCATTCCAGTCATTCCGGACGAGCCTGGGGCTCAGGTAAGTGGGCATGGTCGATTATTGGATTGAGATGGACGGTCACCATGTCTGGTATTTCAGCTTTTCTTATGTAATCAAGCTGAGGGAGGTGTGTTTGGACAAAAGGACATGGGTGCCCTGGCATCATGTGATATGAGTCATATGGATAACAGGGGCCACTGATTCCTTGGCGTTTGTATATAGAGTTGGGAATACCCACCCCCCTCCTTTCTTTTCTTGAGAGGTCAGACCTCGGACCTCAATTAATCCACTTATTGATTGGTATTCCATCAATCTTCTCAATTGGGCACTAGTGTGGTGTGTGGTTCCAACACCATGCGAGGCCTGGATGAGAGGGCGCTGGCACGCTGCAGTGCCACTGTGCCCGTGTCTATACAGTACACCTACAGACCACAGTGTCCTACTTACCTACCTTAGGGGGCATTCTATTTATTAATATCTGGATGTGACCGCCGTCGACGGGCCTGACTCCTCTTCCTGCGTGTTGGCAAGCCCTTCTTTGCAATGCACCAGCACGCGGCGGCGGCGCCGCCGCCACAGTTCATCCCATGGCTGCGCATGATGGTGCTCTTGACCGTCCTGCTCGCCTCGCTTACCGATGCTGCTTCTCTCGTGCTCAGGCAATCCGATACGCTCAGCTCGGGCGCCAAGAGACCTCCTCAAGCACCGCGTATCTTCAACGACACGGCCGAGTCCTTGCAGGAGATCGTGGCAGGTGTGCAGTCGAGGGAGGATAGCGTTGTCCAAGACATCATCACGAATGTGAAGCCGGAGGATGCGACCTTTGAGAACACCGTCGTGCCATACATGCAGCATGAGGACCAGGACACACTATTCTTGTCCAACGTTGGATTATACACCTATGTTTCTCAGAAGCCAGAGCTGAGGGATGCCGCTGATAATGTCACCGGACAGATCGGCGACATCACACAGGCGACCTATCTGAACGAGGATCTCTTCGAACGCGTCAACGCGACCTACTACAAACAAGTCAACGACACGAATCTGTCCCTCGAGTCGCGCAATTTACTGGGGTCCTTCTGGGGCCAGTTTGCAGGAACCGGGCTGGCTGTGGAGAAAGGGGAGAAACGAGACCGGTACCAGAATGCCAGCAACGAGTTGGAAGATCTCCAGGACGCCTTCGCGCAGGCACTGGTTGACGACAAAACGGTGCTATGGTTTACGAAGGACGAGCTAAATGGAACGAGAGACGATACCCTCAGTACTCTGGAGAAGGGAACGGGGGAGAATGAAGGAAAATTGAAGGTGGATTTTCAGATCGACTCCGACCTGCTCGCGATATCGACTCATTGCACGAATGAGACTACTCGAAAGGCCTTGACAATCGCGAGCGCGAATCGAGCCCCCGACAACCCGGAGCGACTCAAGAAAGCAGCTGGCCTCCGCGACGAACTCGCGCGGTTGCTGGGAGACGCCAATTTCGCTGCGAGCGTCATCGCGTCAAATTTGGCCCAAACACCCGAGGCTGTGCACAAACTTCTGGATGACGTTCAAGCAAAAGTGACTCCCTATTGGTTGAAGAAGCTCGATCATTTGAAGGAGCTGAAAAAGAACGACACCGGCAATGCAGACCACTTTTTCCTGTGGGATAGCAACTTCTATCAGACCATGTCGACGGAACAAGAATACCAGGTTGACAAGGACAAAATCAAGCAGTACTTTCCTGCACTCTCGACCATAAAGGCACTCCTAGACCTCTATGCTGGCCTGTTTCATCTGCACTTTGTCAAAATTGAAGGGAAGGATCGAGACGACCTGTCTCCGACTGGCAAAGGAGAAGACATCACGTGGCAAGAAGATGTGGAGATCTATGCGGTGTGGAATGACGATAGTTACAGCACCCAGACCAAGCGTGACGAGGGCGAGTTTGTTGGCTATCTGTATCTCGACCTCTACCAGCGGGAAGGCAAGGCTCCCGATGAATACTCACTATCTATGGAACCGGGCTTTGTGACCAAGGACGGCTCTCGCCACTATCCGTACGTTGTTGTGGGAAGCAATCGCTCTCCTCTTTTTTTCTTCCGTTCAGAGTCGATGGTATGCTGACCTCGCGATCATTGCTGACTTTTGATGTACATTTAGGCTAGCGGTGCTCGTCACCAACATCAAGGAGTCTGCCACAGATACTCCTTCCCTCTTCGACCGTGGCGACGTGGAGGCTATCCTCCATGAACTCGGACACTGCATGCATCAGTTGACGTCCCGTGTCACCTATGGTCGGTTGCATGGGCCCAGCAGTACGCCTCCGGACTTCTACGAGATGCCCTCTCAGATGATGGAGAATTGGGCCTATGAGAGGGCTGTTCTGAAGCAACTCAGCAAGCACTGGTCATACTTGTCCGACGAAAGCAAAGCTGCCTGGCAGAAGCAGCAGAACGATACCAATGCCGTTCAGCCACCAGAGCAGCTACCGGACGACTTGATCGACGAAATCCTCAAGGCACGTAATGCATACACCAGCTACGCCGAGCTCCTACAAGTCTTCTTTGCAGACTATGACTTGAAGCTCCATGAATTGCCGACGCACGAAGATGCTGCGAATCTGGACCCCACAGAGATATACAACAAGCTCTTCCTCGACATCATCAAAATCGAGGGACCAGAGGCGTTGGGTGAAGGTTTCCATTGGGGTCATAAAGTAAGTGGCAACATCCTCCTTGTTGTTGTATAATTCCCATCACCACCAGCTGACCTGTCTGTTTTTTTTTGTTTTCACCAGGAATCTACTTTTCATCACATCATGAGTTCCTACCAAGGCGCCTATTACGCCTACCACTGGAGTCGCATCTACGGCAAAGATCTCTTTTATACTGCATTCAAAGCGGACCCGTTTAGCGCCGAGGCGGGAGGAAAATTCCGGAAATTGATTTTGGAGCCGGGAGGAAGTGGGGATTTGATGCAAATGATTACGGACTTTTTGGGACGTGAGCCGAATAATGATGCGTATTATGAGGATTTGGAGTTGGATAAGCCGATGTGAGGTGGTATGTTGGGGTTGGGGCTGGGAGAAAGATTGTGATTACTGATGGATGGACTTTTTAAGTGAGGGGGTCCGGGGGTGGTTCTGCTAGGTGAATTTGAATGCAGCTAGCTAACTAGCTCTTTTTCCGTATATGAAACTTTTTTTTCTTTTGTGTCTCGTTTTGAATGAAAAATCGCCAATGCATGCACAACTATAGCTTCCTTCGACTACCTTAATATTCACAGTTTCTTGAATCGTGAAAGATGTAGAATACCTGCAGTGGCTAGCTAGCTACCACTTCATTCACTCGGCCGATATTTGCGCCTCTCGACTAGGCAGGCAACCTACCTTCCTCAGACCATGAGGGGTGGAGGGGGGAGGGGAGACCAAGATCTATCAGGTAAGGTAGGTAGACAGAGCATTGGAGCGAGCGTACATTTCTGCCATCCTAGGTAGTCAAGACCTGCCTGACTCGAACGACTGACTCCTTCTTTGTCTTCTTCTTTTTCTTCTTGTCCACAACCCGTTTTATACCTCAGCGCGAGAAGGATCGCTCCCTCGCAGTCTCGTCATGCATGGGTAATCTTATGTGTGTGGTCCTCTGTTTCTCTCTCTCTCCCGCCTTCCCTCTCTCTTCCTCTCTTTCTCGCCCCGTCGTCTTCGTCGTCGTCGTCTTCGTCTTCATCGTCAAGAGTTGTGGACCCGCTCGCTCGCTGGCTTGAGATATATGACTCAATGACAAGAGCATTCCGCTATCCAGTTCCTTCCTTCCTTCTTTCCATTCTACTACCTTCTTATCATCCCCAACCAGAAACTCCATCATCATCACCAAATCCCCCCTTCCTCCCCCTTCATAACCTCCCTCATCAACGCTGCCGACCCTCGTCTCAACTCTTGCACATGTTTCGCACAAACTCGCGTCTGAGGGGTTTCTTCGAATTCCCAGATGGTTTCACAAAATTCCGATTCTTCTCCGTCGCTGTCGTCTTGGCGCTTTCGTTGTTGTTGTTGCTGTTGCTGTTGCTGTTGTTGCTGAGAAGACGATGATGTTGGAGGAGGATGGAGAGTGGAAACGGAGCAGACGAGAGAACATGATCGAATGGGCCGGGAGAGGCGTGGACAGCCGCAGCCGGTGTAGGTTGGGGGGGATTGGAAGCACATGGTGTGGGTTGAGGTTGGAGTTGGAGTTGTCTGTCTTGTTTGTCTGCTTCGTTTGGTGGGTTTGGAGTGGTGGTGATGATGTTGTTGCGGTTGTGCGCAGTATTATGGAGGCAGTGCGTTGGTCGTTCCTTCCTCTTGTTTGTTGTTTCCTTCCTTATGTTGCGGTGGTGGTGGTGGTGTTGCTAGAATCGGGTTCGGGATGGGGATTGCTGGTCATCGTCGAGAGACAGACAGAGAGAAAGTTGTGTGTTGATTCCGGATCGAAAGGTACAGTCAGTTTGGTTAGGTAGTCAAAGGTATGTGTGTGTGTGTGTGTGTGTGTCTGTGTCTGTTTGCCGACCAACCAAAAATATACGATGAAGAGAGTGCGATGCCCTATGTATGACTCGTACCCTACCTCATCAGTGAATGAAATGAGACTTTGGAAGATTTCAGGTTACGAGAAAAGATGCGCGCGATTGATGAGAACTGACCTCAGAAAGTGAACGAACGAGTTGACGAGGAATGTGCTTGGTGAGCCATGCAAGGCACAACCTGCGCGCGCCCACCATTGTCCAATCTTCACACCTTCCTTTGTCCCTGTGAAGTTCCACAACCATCACCAATACCCTTTTATTTTATTTTTTTCTTATTTTTTTCACCAAAAAGAAAAGGAACAAGACGAGTAATATAAACAAAAGAAGAAGAAGAAGAAGAAGAAATAGGAAAAGACCATAGAGCCAGCTTATATTTTTGATGCAACTATCATACAAGCTAGCCAAAAATTGCCATGTGCGCTACCTACCCAAAAGTTCGCTCTCGTGACGGCCCATCTCGTGCCATATACCAAAAGCCAACGATTCGTAGCCTCCGGGCTTGGTTATGCAAGCTGGTTTCTTTTTTGTTACAGGCTAAATGTCATCTCGTATCGTGCCATGAAGTGTGTTCGTATGATGCTGCTAACCCCCCGCCCGCCCCCTTATGTCGTTGCGAACAAATGAAAAAAGTAGTAAGGAAGTAGTAGTATCGAAAGGTCCTCGGGAAACTCAGAAAGACTGCGCCGAAGATGATGCAATGTGGTCGGTAGTGGTACAGGAGCATCAGTGAGATGTCCGCAGCGCGCCGTCTGCATGCAAAATCTTGGGTGGAAAATGCTGGATGGGAGCCACTGACGACCACGCCGGGTGTCAGATCTGTTGTTGAAGTAAAAGGGTAGAGAAAACAAAATGTGTCACACCTCTGTCGCGTAAATTACATGCCGGCCGTGTCAAGTGTCGTAGCTGATGCTGAGAAGATGACGTGTGAGTGTGTGCGTGTGAGTGTGCGTGTGTGTGAGAGAGTGCAAGTGCTGAGATATCCTGACTGTTTCAGGTAACAGTCTGCACATGTCCAAGAGTGACCAAGATCGATCGCGCCGCGATAGTGTTACAGTGATGGTCAAACTCGAAAGTTTGGAAGGATGTTTGCCTAAAAGTGGCCGTATGGCTGCTGAGCGCCGGGAGAGACGAAAGCGGCAGCGCCAAAGCCGTTGGCGTAGCTGGAATATGGATTCTGAGGGCCGCGCTGAGCAGTTGGAGAGGTCATAGTGTCGCTGGGGTAGCCATTGGCACCAAAGTTGCCGACATCGAAGCCGCCAGAGCCGAATGCAGCGCCACTGTTGGCCCACTGCACCGGAGCACCAATCATACCTTGACGGTTCTGGCGGTTGGGAGTGTGCTGGGCGGAGTTGTATGGACCGCTGGTGGAAGGCACCGTACCAGACTCGAGAGGAGAGAGGATGGACGTGTTGCCATTGGCCATGCGACTATCATACTCTTGGATCTTGCTGGCAATGCGACGACCGTGAGGAGTGTTGCGGATGCCTGGGATGATCATGCGAACATTCTCGTACAGCGTCGGCTTGAGCTCGTCGTCGGAGAACTCCATGGCGGTCTGAACAACATAGTTGGCGAAGCCATCACGAAGGAGTTTCTCGAGCACTTGCGGGACCATGAGCTCGCGGATGAGTTCGCGACGCGTCTCATTGCTCGAGCATCGAATGCACTTCTCAATCACGTTGGAGCTGAACTTCTGCCGGGACAGGGCCGGGACCTCGCCGTAGAAAGCACGGCAAAGGGGCTCGGTGAAGCACGGCTCGGACAGGTCGAGAATGTACTGGACGACATAGTTGCCGAATGGGTCTTGCACGAGAGCATATGCATTGCGGATGACGTGATCGACCATCTGACCCTTTTGCAGACCATCAGCGTGATCGATGCAACGCTGGAGCACACAGCAGCCGTGACGATGAGTGCCCACAGTGATGCAGTGAGCGCCGACAGCCTCGAAGATGAAGGAAGCGTCGATCGACGAGAGGTGGTTCAGGCACTTCTGAATAACGTGGTTGCCATTGAGGTCTTGAATGAGGACGACGACGTCGTTGCCGAGTGCCTTCACGATGAGCTGAATCTGCTCTGGAGTGGAGATATACTCAATCATCTTCTGAAGTGCGCGAGTGCCGTGCTGGTTGAGAGCGATCTTGGTCATGGATGGCGATGCATTCTCAATCAAGATGGTGCGCTGGTTGTCATTGGCGCTCTCAAGCAGCTTCTGGCACAAGTAGTTGCCGAATGGATCGACCATAAGCTCGATCATATGCTCTTTGACCTCATCGAAAATGACCTGCACGGTCTTCTCGTTGCGCTCCTCTAACTTTCTCTGCAAGAAGCGGCAGCCATGCTGGTCCTTGCACAGATTGTAGATCTCGCCAGTGAGCTGCTCAACCTTGATGGAATTGTACTTTGCCTGAGCTTCTTCGGCGACCTGCTTGCGCTGCTGCTGCGTGTTGCGAGGGTTGTTGTGGTTGTTGCTGTTCTCAAAGCGACCAGCGCCTGCGCCAGCTTGCCCGTTAGGCGGAAACTGTTGGAAGCCGCCGTAGACACCTTGCTGTTGAGCGTATGGGCTGCTGTTGAACTGGTTTGGCCATGGAGCTTGAGAGTTGTTGAAGCCATTGCCACCACTGATGTTCATGTTGGCGAACCCGTTGCCCATCATCTGCATGGTGTAGCCGCCATAGTATGCCGGAGCATATGGTGTCATATTTGGGCTAGTGTAGGCCGCAGCAGAACCGTGGTCGGAAGCGACGTTGAAGGGAGCAGCACCGGCGTGGAGCGCTGGTTGATGATGGTTGAAGTCGTTGTTGTGGTTGTCGTCTTGAGAGAGCATGAGGGAGTAATCGTGGTTCTGGCGATGAGGAGAGGACAAGAGGCTCTGAAGTGCAGCAGCATGGTTTTGCTTGGGCGAGGCGGCGTTCACGTTGGCAAGATTGGCTTGCTGGTTCTGGGGAGACAGAATGGAAACGCCACCATCGTGAGAGTCGCCGTTGATGCTCTTGAGCGTCGGAATGTCATTGGTGGAGTAGGATGACTGAGGCATGAGGGAACCGTTTGTCAGACCCCGAGGTGGTGTGGCCAGGAGCGCTGGGCGCTTCGTCTCAGCAGCGAAAGTGACCTCCATTGAGCGACGGTTGTTTGAGGGGCGACTGTCGTTTGCGTTGGCCAAGATGCTGTTTAGTGGAGCAATACCCGAAGTGCCACTCAAAGCACTCGGTGGCAAGGAGATACGGTGACGATTGAGCGTTGCACGGTCGGCAACCTGCGGCGGATCTGCTTCTGAGGTAGTTGAAGCGAGATCAAGGGCTGCAGAAACAGGAGAGAACGACAAATCGCCGTTTTCTTCACGCCTGATGAGTTTCGGAAAGCCGTCAGCAGTATGCTGTACCTGCAGGTAGGTCTTGCTGTCAGGTGGTGAGGTTTGGTTAGACTGAGACAATGAAGTGAGCTTGTCGTCGTCGTGAAAGAGGAAACCAGTGGTGTTGAGAGGGCCGAAGACGAGGTCGGTTGTGTTGCGCTTGCTGCGGTCGTACGAAGTGATTGGCATGGAGTTGCGGTTCGGACTGTGGTGATGAAGGTCAGTTCAGTTCGTTCAGTAAAAAGAAGAGTGTTTAAGTATGCCACGAAGCGGTGTGCGACAATGGCAGGAAGCTGCTTGTTACAATTGTCGTGATTGTCAAGGCGTGGCGTCAATGCCTATTGTGCAATTGACGATGCAACAATAAGGGAAGTGAATGAGGCACGTGCATGATATACATATGTGACGCGAGCAAGGCGGTGAACAGGTGAGAAGTAGATGGAATAACAACAATGCACTCACTTTGCGCCAGCACGACGTATCGTGCTATCGAAACCGTAGACGAAGTCATTGTCGTCTTCGTCGTCCGATTGTCGTCGTGAACCAGGCACAGATTGCGATGGCAGACTAGGATTGTTGTTGGCTGTGTATGGTCGTGCGAAGCCGGCAGGGGGCGATGTGAGATGAGTGCTCGCTCTGTTTGATCTCGTGGTGATGCCTGTGCCTGGTGGCGACATCAAGCTCGCCGCTGAATAGCGGTTTGGCCGCGAAAGATTGTTGGGGAAGGCGTTCTGGTACTCGGGCGGTGTCGTCGGCTCGCTCTGCGCGAAGAGCTGTGTAACTGAATGCTCGTGGCGAATATTCTCATCAACCTCACGGCGGGTATCAGCATCGACTTTCTCGAGCTCTTCCTGGATCTTGCGCTGAGCTTGAAGCAGCGTCTCATAATGGCGTGCTGCACGTTCAGACTGTGCCTCAATAATTAGCACACTGCATGGCCTATTTGCAACACCAGACACGTTCTGAGCCAGCAGCCTTGCGGACTCGGCCACAAGACGACCAGACACATATGAGCACGCACGCTCTTCTTTCTATGCAGCCCAAGACTGTGAACTACAGCGCAAGGCACATGGTCACATCCGCCTTTGCGCGCACGCTGCCAGACAGGAGGCAAATGAAGTGTAGGGAGGTCTTACTGGAGTCATCCTGTTCTGCGATGTGGTGGTCTGCACGTCTAATTAGCTGCTGTTTCTTGGACCAAACGCAGGACCCAACAGTAGAACAGAGGATTGCAAACACAGCCCGCTTCTCAAATGCACTTTTTCCCTTCGAAACCCCTATCAAGAATGGGTGCCTCGACATCCGGCATGTGGCACAACCAGTGGGTTTCGCGGAAAGTGGGCCGGCAAATGGCAGAGTGGTGCTGCACCCCGAGCTGTTCGCATACCAGCCATGTGACACAAGATATCTATCCTCTTTGCCTCCCATCTGTCGCCTTTCCCACGCTCTTCAACCGCTGTGCCGTTCATGCTCGCTCCATCATGTCGTGGGGCTCGTCTGGACTTACCGTATGCGTGTCCCCGGCAGCCTGCCTTCGCTGCTGCCCGATCGGCGACAGCGTGGGCACTGTATTTGTGGTGAACCTCCTCGTCAACGCTCCACGCACGTCGTTGGTGGTCGCCATGTTCGCCGACCATCGATTGGGATTGCGCTGGGACGGCGGAGACAGTGGGTTGGTGGTGTACTGCTGCTGCTCGTCACGGGGCGATTGCGCTCCGCGATAATACGCCATCTGTACAGGCTAGGGGTCAGCATGGGATCCTGCTCCGTGGCCAGGAGGGCTCGTTGCAGAGCGGAGCAGCACAGCTCGACGACGTTTGTCAGCGTACCTTTGCAATGCGTCAAAGGGTCGGACTCGGGCTGGCAGCTGCCCTTTTTGCGAGAGCAAGCAGTGCGAGGGATCGGGAAAAGACGGGCACAAAGAATGTAGTTTGTTAGGCTGGAGGGACAGACATTCGAAGCTGCTTGCTGCGAAGTTGCAAGACAAGAGGAGGTCGGGTGGTAAGTTAGGTCGGTAAAGAAGACAAAAGAGGTACGGTATGCAGCGCTCAGAACTCAAGACCCCGTAGTAGTGTAGTAGAATAATGGCGCTAGAATAGTGTGCTAGGTGGGAGGTAGCGGGGTGTCCTTCTGGTCGGTCGTGGTCCGTCCGTACCTAGAATAGCGGAGGAGAAGAAGCCGGCCGTGGTGGATGGACAGAGAAGCCCACGAGCCAAATTCGACTCTCCCGAAATCAACCAGCAGCACGACCACCGCCGCCACCGGGACGTGGAGGCTCCCTCCATCCCTCCATCCATCCATTCACCCCATCCCTCCCTCCAATCGCCATCCCATTGCTATCCCAGTTCTGTCCAGCACAGCGGCCAACCTCTCGAGCGCGCTGGGAAGTGGGTGCCAATGCGTGTTGATTATGTGACCCCCGCCGGCCTGGCTTGTGTTGCCGTGGCCTCCTCACAGGCGACAGGCCACCGACCACCTCACCTACCTCCTACAGGCTACAGCTCACAGCCTCACAGCTGTTGATGATGCGGACCCTCTCTCGGGCTCCATCAGCTTCCCCGTCTGAGTAGTACTAGCACGGCTAACTGCCTGGGGGATAGCCGCCACCACATCCTGGCTCGCGTCTGCAGAGACCAGACGCTTCCATGCAAACGAATGGCGTGTCTCGCTGTTTCACAGTTTCACAGACGAGGTCAGCCTGTGCCTATGGCCCCATGTCACAAAGGGTGCCCCAGTGCGCAAACGTGGCCGCGAGCTGCTGTCTCTTAGCCGCCGGCAGTAGCATCTACCTCCTTTAGCTCTAGCATTGAGGCACTAATCCCCCATATAGCCTCTCAACAGACAACAAAGTGCTCGTGGTAGCCTGCTGCGTTGAATCGATATGACGAGTGCCCATCCCTCTCCCTTGCGCCTTGCGGGCTGGACAACCAAGGTACAGGTCATTTGAAGAAAGTGAAGGTAAAGAGCGGTCTGCAAGGGCCTTGTCTGCTTTTGAGTCACCCCGTTCAATGTTGCGATTCGCTACCATTCGAAGGATGTGGTCCGCAAGCCACGAGAGCGGCGTAGAGTTCTGAAGGTGCCCGCCCGTCAGGCTCGGTACCTGCAGTGAAACGGGGTCCTACTGTGGGAGGGAGGTAGGTACTGAGGTGTGGTGTCCACTGCGAGAGTCAAGGGACAGGACGATCTCAAAGGACGATTCGGAATGACTAAGCACGTGTGGTGGGCATCCGGATGACTAAGCTTCGGCGCGGATCAACGTAAGCTCCGGCTGAACATCACTTATATATATATATATTAACTACCTACGTAAAGCACTATTCAACACTGTATAATCTACTACTTTACGGCCTATAAAGCGCGTTTAACGACCCCTAGTTCCGTTACTCTTAGTCTCGACTATATAGGGCCCGTTATATAACCCTAAGTCGTTAGATTCACTATATATAATACTGCGGCCGCGGCCTCGGCTATACGGCTATCTACGTCTATGTCTATAGCTATAGCTATATACTAGCTTAGTAGTATTAACCGCTGCTAACTTATTACTTTCGGCCGTCTATAGTACGTCGGCTACAATAGTACGCTACTAAGCTACGAATTCGGAGCGTAACGTAACGGTAGTAGCCTTCTTAGCTAATACTATATCTTTACTAGCTACCTCTATACTCGTTATAAGCCTATTAGTCGTCTTATTACTACGCTTCGGTAACTGTAGTAGTAGTAGATACTAAGCCGGCTTTATAGGTACTATAAATAGAATCGCTTCTAGTAGTAAACGGTCGCGTTAAGTAGTCTATATACTAGTTAAGTAAACGGCTTCAAACGCTTCGAGCTTGTCTATATAGGTATTATAGTCTGCGGCTCGTAGTAATAGTAAGCAACTTAACTAGCGTAGTATAGAAGCCTATATACGATTATAACTGTCCGTACGTTATAGTAATACCTTCTATAGTCTATCCGTTATAGCGTTGTATTAATTCTACTAGTTCGGTATCTACTAGACGGCGTTACTAGCGTAAACGGAACGATTGCGCGCAAAGTAACGAGGGTATAGTATACTACGAGCAATTGCCTTCCGTTTAATTACCGTAGGTAGTAGTATATAAGTATATAGTAGTCTGTACTATTCAACTTTACTATAATCTATATAGTAATCGCGTGTCGGATACGGCTCTACTATTACTACCGAGCGCGTATAATTGGCCTTGTCTACTGTACGTTTAATACCGAGAGCGTTATACTATAAAGTAAGTAGCCTATCGATTGTCTATATCGTTACTTAGCTATTAAGTTATACGAAATAACCGAGATTATTAGCCGCTACGGCCTATAGGGGTAACCTAATATATGTGTTTTCTTCTAACCGTTCTAAATTATTAAACAGCTTATCCAGATACTGCTTAATACCTTTAACGTACTATTCTAGTAACAAGTACGGCGGTAGATACCCCTTTATACTACGATTGCCGCCTTCCGCGCGCTATAACGAGCGAGCCCTATTATTCGGTAGATACTTAATATAATACGTTACTAGTCGCTGCTTAATAACGACGTAGGTATTACAGAAATATTCGGTATCCTCTATAGTCAATCCGTCGAGAATAGCTGCCTTAAGTTTATCGGGATTCGGCGGCTTCGGCTATATCCGCTTATAGCTATAGCTATATAAGCGCTTTTAATTCCGTCTTCTACTCGGTAGTATAGCCTAGTTTACGAGCTCGTATACGTCTTAGCGCGTCGATTCGTATAGTAGATTTAGTCGGTACGGTCGGTTCGTCGTTAGTAGCTACAATAGTAGCCTAGCGTACCTTACTATCGGCGGCCTTAGTATATACTACGCGTACAGTACCCTTATCGATACGCTTGTAAAGGTTTTAAGCCGCGTACTATTAACAGAATTACTGAATACAGCGCTAAAATAGTAACTCCGGAATAGCCGCGACAAGGCCGGCTCCGGTATCTAAGATAATTACTTTATTAAGTCGACAGTTACGTAGATAGTTGTTAAATACAACAAGTAGTATAAACAGCTAATCCTCTTTACTCTCTGACTTTATTAGTAAATAATATATCGGAAATAACCGTCCGGTATTAGTAACCCCTATAAATACGCCGAGTAATAGGCCGGTACGATTAGTACTAAACGTAGCGTCTACCTAGAAGCTATAATCTAGTACGAATCGTATAGTAAAGCGCGCTATACGTTACTACTAGTAAACAAGCTGCTTAAGTAATACCTACGTAGTACTACTAGTCTATAGATTAGTAGTAAACGACTAACGGCCTTTATATTCGAATCCGGAAGTAACGAGAATACTAAGCAATACGTTAATAACGGTATCGGCGTCGCCGGAGCTACTAAACGTATTACCCTTAGCTAGGTTATAGTAACGTTTGCGATTGAGTTAGAGTTCGTAAAGCAAGAGCTATTAGTATATAGTACTATATAATTCGTTCGTAAGTCGATACTACGCAGTATACGCTATAGCTTTACCGAAGCTAGGTATACGTATCTCGTAGACAGTGTAAACGGATGGATTTAGCGCTAATTCGTATATATAGTCGAGTAAATTAACAATTAGCTACTACTGTTTAACCGTCGTGCCTTACCTTACTTATACGTAACCTAGTCGGTAGTTCTAACCGTACCCCCGCTATCGTACGTTTCTCGCGTTACGGACGCGTAGAGTAAGTAATTCGTCGTTGCTATTACCTATATAATCGTCGAATTGGCTTATTACTACTAGTCTGCCCTTTACCGCCTTAGGTCCTCGGGTAGTTCTTCTCGATCTAGGTCGCTAGGTTAACTAACTCGTCCCGTGTTTTAGGGATAGAATTATAATCGACGATCCGTCGGCGGGTCTCCGGGTACAACCGGGCGAAGAACTAGTATAGCTACTACTCTAGAGTATACCGTTCTAGCTATACCTCGAGAGTCTCTAGATATATTAGGAACTCCCTTAGAGACTAGTTAGTATATTGTTTAGCAGACATATAGTCTAGGTAAGCCTAAAGCAGTCGAGCGTTAGGATCGTCTAGGAGGTTAAGTAGGAACTGCTTAAAGTTATCCTAAGTCGTATCCTTACGCTCGGCCTCGGTTATCCGCTACTAGTATATATACTAGCGGTCCCTCGGAGTATACCCCTTAGAGAGGTACTATATTGCCTAGGTATACTTCTTAGCTTCCCGTTAGAAGGATCGTAGATTCTAGAGGAATACGACTTCGTACGATATTACGAAGTCGCTATATTCTTTTAAGGACCTCCCCTCGTATTCGCTAGGGGCTTTTACCGAGCGTTTAGGAAGGAGGGCAATATCGGTTTCTATAGTATACCGCTTATAACCGCGGCTACTCTAGAGGTTAGCTACTTCTTAGATTAGTAGCAGACGTTCCTTTTCCGCCTATAGGCGGGCGATGTCTTTCTAAAGGTCGCTTAGCTCCTCGCGTTCGATAATAATTTCTAGCTCGGAATCGTTCGCGTCTTCTAGCTAGATACTAGCAAGAGCTTCTATAGATTCCTCCTAGTCGAGCAGTTCCTAAACTCGTCCTACTTCGACATCCGTAGAGGAAGATCGTTTAGTAGAGGCCTATTCTAGTACAGAGGGGTTCCCCGGCGAGTCGCTAGGATTCTGTCTAGTAGAACGTCCTCCTACTATTGTTCGGACCTTTCCCTTATAGTTAAGATACGAGAGTTATTATATAATAGTTCTGTAAGCGTAAGGGTATACGTAACAGAGGTCCGAGGTATAAAAGGTATAAATAATATACGGCTTGCTATCTAAGGTATAATAACTCTGCCCTTCCTTCCTAGAGGAGGGCCCTCGCTATATATATAAGCTATTCTATTGTCTACTCCTCGCTACCGGCACCGCCTCCTCTTAGGCAGCAGCCGATAACCGGTTCCCTTAGGAACCCTCTTGATTTAGAACGTCTCCGATCGGTAGGGCATCCCTTCTATACTAGATCGCCGGGGGTCCGCGAGGGCTTCCCGTCC